TTGAGGTTGCTGAGAGGGGGCGATGGGGGTTTGGAAGAGGGGGCGGGCGAAGTGGGTGCTTGGTGTTAGAAGCGTGAATCGAAGCGGTGGGCTCAAGCCTTGCGTGCCTGGCTCTTGGTAATTCGCGGCGGCTTGTTGCTGGGTGTTAACAGTAGCTGTGCACCTTGGCGAGGAGCAAGTGTGGGAGGGTGACTGAGTAAAAGCCTTTGAACAATGCGATACGGCGCCCAGCAAGCCCCTCGCTGGTCTTACAGTGGTCAGCTGGCCTTTCAATCGCAGCAGAACCTCCTAAAAATGAGTTAAGTCAAAATTACCCATGCTGTGAGGGTGGTCGAGTGCAGGCACGGGTTGCCCAGAGAGGTTGTGGGGTCTCCATCCCTGGAGATGCCCAAAACCTGGTGACGTGGTCCTGAGTGACCTACTCTAACTGACCCTACTTTGAGCAGCGGGGCTGGACCGGACGGACCATCTCCAAGCGCCTTAATGCCTCAACCATTCTGTGATTCTGTGGTGTACAACCATATGAAAATATAGTATAAAAGATTTAAAGGAGTGACGCACGGTATTGGGTCTAGAGCAGCGTGCAGAGAGCCTGCTGGGGAAGCCTGGGCATAGGGATGCCTGCCGACTTCAGAGGGTGACATTAGGGACACGTGGCCGAATTTGCAAAGCTGTTACGCATCAGATAGTGCAGGCAGGCCAGCGGGACTTTCGGTGAGTCAGAAACTGAACTTGCATAGAAGCCACTGGGTCAGAGGAACCACACCAAACAGCTTTAAACCCCAGATGTAGATGTTTGTGTGCAGAAGATAGTCTCCCAAGGTCCCCTGTATTGTCAGTGGAGAGAAGTGTGTCCTCTAGGACATGCCAAAATAGTGGGATGAGTTGGTCTTTAGAAGAGCCTGGGCGATTTTAAGAAAACACGCTTTGTCCTCGTTTACACCACTAAATACCTAAAGCACTTTTGAAAATCTGGCCCTGGGGGACCACTGGAATCTGGAGGGAAGATTTCCTTCTCCCTTGTTGAGTAATGTGCTCAGCAAGCACGCGTGGTGCCATCCTTCATTCAGGTCTACCTCAGTCATTGTGCTAAGCTGTGTGAAACTTTGCTGGATGATTCAAGATGATTCATTCATATTTCAGGTGACCCTCCTGCTTTATAACAAGGATTAAGAATGGATATCAAATTGCTGCTGATCACTGTCTTCCTGATTTATCCACCGATTTCTTATGTGACAGTGTAACAAATACTTTCCTGTGATCTAGACTGAGTATGTTTGGTGCATTTCAGCATCTTACATTTAGAACTCTAATATTAAAAAATGCAAAAGCTTTTCTTCATCCTGTTTAAACATTTGTTTCACAAATGGGGAAGACCAGCATTTCAATTAAATATTTTAATTTAGGACTTTGGAAAGCTGTGTTTATTCACTTAGTTAATTTGTGAATGATTTCCATTCCAATTACAACACATTATAAACATGCTAATGTTTGTATCCTGTATTGCCAGTTTGTCACTATTAGTGAGATGGTAGACTGTCTTGGTCATTAGGGCAGATGGGATTGGCATGGATTTCACCCTATAGCACTACAGAACAGTTGTAATTTAGAGGAAAATCTCTTTTTAGGCATTGCAAAGATTAACAGATGCAAAAACTAGTGATGGGTCATCATTAAAGAGCTCTTGTACCACTGTCTTACTGCTGATTTCTGTCTCTCTCTCGTGGGCATGCTGATACAGGTGATGTTTGCTGACCCTCAAGCTGGCACAGAACAGCCTAGTGCTGCTGGAACAGGAAGCAGAGGTCGGGCTGTGCTGGCTTTGGACCCGAGCTAGGATCCCTGTCTGACGCTGTGACTGCCATGGTGATGTACAGCGATACTCTGGCCTATCCCAGGTAACACAATATGACTTTGCATAATATCGGCATATCCTGAGGCATCAGCTGTGAAGTCTAGTGCTGTTACCTATCTCAGGGCACAGTTTGGAAGTTACTCACTCTTCAGGCAGTCGCTGGCCTGCCGTATCCAGGAGGTCTGGACGAGTTCAGGCATGTGCACTTCTTCCCTTCAGGTAGCTGTGACTGGCAATACATGGGAACTGCTTCTCCAGGGCCATGCCCCAGCCATGTCCTGAGTGTCAAGTCTGCTTCCAGGACCCTGTGTGCCATGGGTGGGAAGCCTGTTCATACAGCCTAGAGATGAAAAACATCACCTGGTCCAGTGAGCTCCTGGTCTGAACAGTAGGAGCATCAGGCTTTGGGATGCATCCTGATTTACCCAGTGAGTAAGTATAGAGCTGTCCATAGAAACCAAACAGCCCAATTCAAAGAGGAAAAAATGATCCTTAAGTAACACGTTGACATATTCCTCACCTGGGGCCTTACCAGCTAGCAGGCCTTCCTTCAGAAAATCCAACAGGGCCCCATGCCTCTCTCATTCCTTCCTAAGCACCCTCTTTTCTTAATCCCTTTTTATAGGCTCCCAGGCTTTAATCCATATAGCCAAAACTACCCTGAAGGAGCACCAAGCCAAGTGAAAGTCCTCAGCAAACTCTTACCTCGAGTTATTTTTCCTTTGGATTTTTCCCCATGCGTAGTCTCATAGTAACTTAAAAGTATTAAGGAAGTTCATATTCTAGTAAGAACTCTTGCAGATAGTAATGGTTAACTCTATAAAAGAAGAGAGAAGAACCCAAACATATGACAGCAGCCTGTGTGCATTTTAGAAACGGCTTTTGTTAGAATTTTCTTTCAGGAGATTTAAAATCTTCTTTAAATATCCACAGTGGTATTAAATATGAATTTTAAATTTCAGAAAAATATTAAAAACTTTGAAAGATGAACTTATTAAGCATAAAATTTGTTGAAAAACAAATACGCGATAAAGCAGCAAAGTAACATATAGACAGAATTCTACATGCAAACATATGAAGAGTTACAATAATTTTTTCTGTCAGAATGAGACATAGTGTTAAAGTACTTACAGCCTAGTTACCTTGTTCCTGAACTTTTCTCTATAATTTCTCTATCTCTGAGCACTAAATATTTTGGATAGCAATAAAAATATGGGTAAGTTTTACTTTCAAATGTGCATCCGTCTTCTCTATGAATGCTCTCTGCCTAGCTTGGGCCTGCCTTTAATTACTTCAAGGATTCTCTCCTGCAAAGTGAGAAGTGACTTGAGGTTCCGTAAATGTGTTTGTCACTTCTTTTTAATTCCTTCCTCTTTGCCAGTATTTTTTTATTTTGACAGGGAGCTAGCTTCATGTTGGTTTAATCTTCGGTGTTACATGAGTGTCATTTAGACACTCAGGCCATGTAATGAGCCAAACTCTGCCCATGCACAAAACTGTGCAGTTATTACTGACCTTTTAGAATATTTGAACTGGAATACCCTGGGCACTGCACAGCCCGTTGCATCTTTTTTTTTTTAACTTTCTTTTTTTCCTCCCATTGGTGAACCAAGTGTTGACATCTTCACTCATTTTTTCTCAATTGCTAGGCAAGCTGAAAACAATTAGGAGCATAACTAAAGTAAAGGTTATATAGAGAATACTTTGGGTTTATTCCCTTATGCCGAATCAGTCCTTTGTCCATTTCTGAAGGAAAGAAAGAAAATGGAGAAGAAAAGAATACTTGTCAATCTATATCAATTTAATAGAAAATAAGTCTTGTCACACGGACATGATGTTATTACAATGGGAAGATATATTTTGTTCCTCCACAGATGCAACAGATTTTTGAAAGGCACTTGTCTTATCATATGTCATTATAACACAAGTGCCAATTTTCGTTAAAATACACGTGAAGGGGATTAATACCTGGTTTGCTACAACCTCTTAAAACACTCGTTTCCAAAAGAGCCTGTGCCAGGCTTGCAGTTACTCAGTAACCCACAGGACCACCGGCAAAGAATGGACATGTTACAAAGGTGGATGTAGTGATGAATGAAGAGGAAGGCAGGGCACTGAGAAGGGAGGCT